TTATTCTGCTTTTAGATGTGAACATAGTGTTCGCAGGATCATCTACAAATGTTTTCAGAACCTTCAGTTACAGTCGTGAATATATCTTAAATACTAAACACTTCAGAATCGCTGCTCATGGAATGTTTCTGGCTTTTCCCTTGAAATGGTTTGTGCTCAGAATAATATACGGTGAAAACAAAAACAAAAGAGCATGCATTTGAAATATTTAAGGACAATAGTAACATTTCCATCTCCTAAAATTTAATTAAGAAGTTTATTTTTCAGAAGACAAGAAAGAGTATCCTTAAAAATTATGTTAAGCTGTCACAAGTGCGTAGTTATGAATTTCCTAACGTTGCTCCTGTGGAGAAAGTTACTTAATTGTATTGCTGAATGTTGTCTTAGCAAAATGCATTTTTAAGTAGTCATAGAGGGTCTGTAGTAAATGTTTGGTTACCAAATGACCATTGAGGATTCTTTTAGTTGTTTAAAAAAATGATAAAAGATCAGGCTGATGAATCACTATGCAAGAACTTGAGTTAACTGAGTGCATGCAGATCAAAGGTCTGGGTTTTGCTCTAACATCGCAGGAGAATGTTGCTGCTTAGATGAGGGTCTCGCTATGTTGCCCAGTCTGACCCTGACAGCTCTGGAATGGCCCCCCAGTAGCTAGTGCATATGCCTGCAGTAGCTGGAAGACCCACACCCCTACACTGTGGAGTCCCCTTTGGACTGTGAGATTTTCAGAGCCGCAATTCACAGCACAGACCATAAAGTTGTGCATACAAGTGAGTCCACCCTGCCTTTCCTCCTATAACCTGCATGCCTGCCAGCAAGATGCTGGGAGAATCCACGAGTGGGTGCAAGGCTCCTTGGGGCAAAGCTACCCATTGTTAAAGAGAGTACCCTGGGTTCAACTGTTTCAGACAGTTGCGAAGAAACTGTGTGGCACTTTTAGCAAACTCCCCTTAACCTTCATTCCCATGGACTTTCTCCATGGTCCTCCATTCCACACGATGAAGGAATTGACACATATTTACAGATATTTATAATTTCATATCTATGTAAGTTTATAAAATTTACTAACTCAGCTGATTACCACTATGGTTTATAAGATTAGATGATGGGGCTAATGACTACCTCAAACATTTCATAAATCACTCGCAAATATTTATTGAGTGTTATGCAACTAGCACTATTCTCGATGTCAGGATACATCCAGAGGATAAAAACAAAGGAACCCTGCACAGTTCCTGCCTCTATCAACTTTCTGGTACCCAGGAGGCTCCGCTGTGATGCAGAGACAAGCACCACACATTGCCTTGTGTTCCCAGTATCTTCGGTACCCAAACCGGAGGACACTGCTTCAGAATGGTGCAGTCTCGGGTCACTCACGTGTGCCAAGCCCTGTGATGGGTGACTTTTCGTCCATTACTCGCATTTGACCTTCATCATCAAAAGCAAAAAAACACCCATGGATGACTACAGAGATGGCTTGGCTTTAAGGACACGGACTTTTTGCTCTTTCAGAGGACCAGAGTTCAATCCCCAGCGCATAACCATTGTAATTCCATTTCCACAGATCCAATGCTGGCCTCTGGCCTCTGCAGGCACATGGTATGCATGCATACATGCAGGCAAAACACCCGTACTTAGAATATAAAATCAGTGAATTGTTTTAACTTTAAGTTTTTATTTTTTAATACTACCGCCATTCTAGTAAAGAAATGGCTATTTGGGGTAGGAACATGGAGAGAATAGCACAGTTGTTAAGAGCACTTACTGCTCCCACAAAGGACCCAGAATCAGTTCTCAGTGCCTGCATAATAGCCCATGACCATCTTAACTCCAATTTTAGAGGACCCGATGTCCTCTTCTGGCCTACACACACACACACACACACACACACACACACACACACACACACACACACACACAGAGAGCGCATATACATACATGTAGGCAAACACTCATACACATAAAGTAAAAATAAATACGTATTTTAAAAAAGAGACAGAGCTTTCAGTTGTGCTATTAATTTTCTAGTGTGATTATTCTACAGTCTCTTCATGTGGGCACTTAATGCTATGAACTTTCCTCTTAGCACTGCTTCCAAAGTGTCCCATAAGTTTGGGTATGTTGTGTTTTCATTCTCACTGAATTCTAGGAAGTCTTTAATTTCTTTCTTTATTTCTTCCTTGACCTTGACCCAGGAATGGTGCAATTGAGCATTGTTCAATTTCCATGAGTTTGTAGGTTTTCTGCAATTTGTGTTGTTGTTGAATTCTAACTTAAAACCATGGTGATACAATAAGATGCAGGGGGTTATTCCAATTTTTTTGTATCTGTTAAAGTTTGCTTTGTTGCTGAGTGTGTGGTTGATTTTAAGGAAGGTTCTGTATGTCACTGAGAAGAAGGTATATTCTTTTGTCTTTGGATGGAATGTTCTAAAGATGTTTGTTAAACCCAGTTGGGTCATAACTTCTGCTAGTTCCTTTGTTTCTTTGTGAAGTTTCTAATTGAAAACAATATTAAGATATTTGTTCAGCTTATAGAGAAAAACAGCTACAAATTAAAGCAAACCCCTTCCAACCACAAAAATTCCAGGCAAGTCTTCCAGTAAGACATGACAGCATTTACCGCATTTGTCCAAGAGCTTCTGAATGCTTGCCTTACCCATGCCATGGCCTAATATTAGTACTGCTTTTGACACAAGATATATTCATAAACCAAAGAGGCAAAGAGCCACGTCCCTGGGAGACTTAAACACCAGTTGGAGTAGACAGATGGTAAATGTGGTGAGTATAAACATAACACAAAGTAAATACATGCTATGCGGAAGGTTAAGGTTCACTGGGAGAAAATTAAGTTCAACTTTATTTCCTAACAATTGGAGTTATTTAATAAGAGGGGGGAATCATTTTATCTGAACCTTCACCATTTAAAAGGTGGAGGGACCCAATAATTTGGTTAAACAGACTCCCAGAGAGGAGTTATGGAGCAGAGCTGAGTCGTCAGGGCAAGACTGTACTTTGAGGTGAAGGGACACCTGGCAATAACCACCAGAAAGGTAAGCCATGTTTCAGATCTGCTCTTTTGACCACGGGGCACAAGCACACAGAAGAAAGAGCTGGGCTACCAGTGACTGCTCAGGAGAAGCAAAGCAAACACGCATACATCACTGGAAAGTCAGGTGTAGCTGGATGGCTTTTATCCATGCTGCTTTCTGGTGGGGGAACGTCCTTCCGCATAGATGTTTCTCTCATTGGTTGATGAATAAAACACTATTTGGCCAAAAGAGGCGGGAAGATAGGCAGGGCTAGTAGGCGAGGAGAATTCTGGGAAAGACGGGCAAGAAAGGCACCTCGAAGAGACACCATGTAGAGACGGGGAAGATAAGATGTGTCAGGCGTTCTCCGGTAAGAAAAGGCCGTGTAGAAATGCATAGATTGGTAGTTATGGGTTAATAATTAAGACAGAACTAGCCAGTAAGAAGCCCTAGCCATCATCCAACAGTTCATAAATTAATATAAGTCTTTTTGTACGTTCATTTGAGGTTGACGCAGCGGGACCTAGCAGGACATAAAATCTCCAGCTACAGCTTTCTACCAGCATGACTAACCCTGAGGACTAAGCAGGCATCTCTAAGTTTTCAGTGGTTTGATAGTTACCCTTGTTCCTGGGGACGTGATTAAACCTCACACAACAACAGAACTGTAGTTAACCAGCTTCCTGGGCATCAGAGGTTAAGAGAAAGTAGGGGGAGCAGAGGCAGAGTAAAGGCAGAAAAGGCCATGGAATCACGGAGGATGGGGGATGGCACAGCATGTCGGGGAGTCTCCCTGCTCTCCTTTCTCCACCAGGCTTTGTCTGGGCAGTCGCCCTCAGACACCAATTGGAGCAACTAAGCCATGCTGAGAACTAGGGTCTAACGCCATCGGCGGTGCGACAGCAAGTAATGCCTCTGAGCTAAGACCGAGGTGGGCTGCTCAGCACAGATGGGGTTACCCTTTGCCTCGAACATGCGGGCATTGCTTTCTCAAGGGGGATAAAGGGAAAGTTTTACTTCGATTTGGTGTATTTGTGGTCTCAGAGTTGCAGTCGGGCGAACCCTGTTCAGAGCTTGCGGAGGCACGGATAATGATTCACGGGACTAGACTCAAATATAGGTTAAATATAACTTGTTTCAGGGAGAAGGCCCATGCAGAAGGAGCAGATGGCCTCCGCAGGCTCCTGTTCTAAGGATCCGCACAGGCGGCTCCCTATGACCCAACCGGATTCAAGAGAGACTGCTGGGATCCGGGCCCCAGACCTAGTCCTACCCTCCATTAGGTAGATTGACACCTGTGACCACGCCCAAACGGGTGTGGTCAGTGCTACACGTGCGGGCGTGATGGATATCTCTCTACCAGAGTTCCTTGAGGCAGTTGAAAAGCTCTAAATACCTTCCTGCCAGTGGAGCTTCAGGGCATGGTGTTAGGGAACAATTTCCCAAACACTGACCGGATCAGAGCAACAGGAAGACAACCTTACATTCCCAGCAATGCTCCAACAGGGTCCTCCTGTATGCTACTTAGGAAGTCAGAAAGTATGACTCAGTCCTCCAACCCAGATGCCCATCACGGTGCTTAGTGAATCATAACACTCTGAGAACTGACAATAGGAAAACGGAAGTGCATTTCAAATGTGATTTCTTTCTATTTTACCAGAGTGCGAAACCATATATCATATATAACCGTGTAGTTCCCTGGGTTCGTTGGCTATCCTACAGAAGAAAAGGTGACCAAAATTCATCAGATCGGATGCTATGTCTGCTAAGGTTCGCCTTTTACAGTGGTCTGTGAGGGAATTGGTCTTCCTAAGGAGACACTGCATGGCTTTCCTTCCCATGCCTTAGCTTGACTTATACTTGTCAGATCCATCAAAGGGGGAAAAGAAGACAAGTCAGAGGGTCAGAGCAAAGAGCCCCGCAGGGACGCTGACCCAAAACCCGGTCGTCCTGCCTCTTACCTGAAGCTGCCCACCAACAGAGGACATGAGTAGTGGGTTTTCCTTCCTCCAGCCTCCCGGAAGGACGCAAGTGCAATTTGTTCTTCCAGAAAGTTGTTTAGGAAAGCCGGCATGACCTCTTCTTCTGCCCATCTGTGGAGAAAAATGCCACCTGACACGGTGACCCCAAACACAATCCCACAGCGACTAGACAGATTAGACTATGGAGGTTGGTCTTGGGGACAGAGATGCAAACCACCCCAGTGCTTTGCCCCCTCAGTTTGCCTGCTCATAGATACTACGCATGACACTGAACCGTGGTCGGGGTTCAGAGCTAAACAGCTCTGTGTGAGCCTCTCAGAAAGAAAAAAAAATGGCCATGGTGGGGGGGAGGGAGGCTCGTTTTTTCAACTGTTCGAGAAGACTTCCCATTGAGCAGGAGGTGTGGAGGCTGCGGCTGCCTCGGCCCCAGAGTCCTTTGGCTTCCATATCTAATATGAACATTGGTGTAGAAACTCTCCCAGACACTACCAGGCAGAGACGCCTAACTACCAACACGAATTATCGGCCCCAGAACTTACCGTTTCTGTGTTACTTCCCCCACGCCCGCAATATGCCTGCTTTCCCTACCCTAAAGTAAACTCTATAGAGGCATCTCTTGCCCAACAGGAGATGTTCAGGATAGCATCAATCCTTTACATAGGCAGATGCTTGTGACACTGATTTGGAAATGTAGCAAAGGTTCCCACGTCCCTAAGTACGGCTTTCCTTTCCAATACACCTAACTGAAACCAAGCGGTTCGTCCATGATGGCACCTCTTTGGTCTGAGATGTTAAGGGTGAGTGGGAATGCATGCTTTTTGCCTACGGGCAGAGTTTGGGGAAAATTGGCAGAATTTAAATTTATATTTCAGAATGAGAAAAAACAGTTTGGAACATCCTACTGGAGAAAAACCAGATCTGTAAACAACGATGAAAGAAATGGAGCTGACAATAGAATCCAAAGTCGGGAAAAATAAATCATAATAGCGTGATCAATCTAACCACTTTATTTAAGTCCACGGAATGACACAGGAAAATCATACATGTCCCGGTGCCTAAGCATGTCTTGGCTGAAACTCCCATTAACTCATTTTTTTTTCTCTGCCATTTTCTTTGAAGGAAACCAAAGGAAAGCTCCCCCAGGTGCTGTTCAGATGCCAGCATGGCATTTGAGGACTCTTATTCCAACCAAATTAAACCTGTGCCCCCCTAAGTATCTGCTCCACGAGTTTTAATGGGCATCCTTCAGGCACTGAAGGCAAACATTAGGCAGCTATCTCCAAAGCCAGGAACAGTAACATCTAAGGAACAAACAGACTGCCACCTGTCTAGGATTTGGGCTCCGTGGTCATGCTCACTGTATCAAAGCATCCAGGGACACAGGCCTTCTGGGGGTGAGGACAAGATCAAGAGGCTTGCACATTCCCAAGTAAGACACAAAAATCAGGATGCGAAAGTAAGGATCAAGCCCCTCTTTGTTCATTTACAATTCTAAAGACCTTGGTGAGGGATGCCTGTGCTTCCTAGACAAGGCCGTGTGAAAGGAAATTTAAGGAGAAGGACCATTTCATGGGGTTTTGTGTGTTAACAGAGATTGTCTGCAAGGTGCTTTGAGATTCGGAGATTAAAGACATCTGCGAAGCCCCGTTACAGCGCTGACACTTGCAAGGGCTTTGAGAGCAGAGGGAGCCTCCTCAGCTGTTGGCAAGGAATTCCGGGGACGATTATTGTTTCCTTGTGCCTGCTGCTCTGAGAGGAGCTGTAACTCTGCCTTTAAATGGAGCCTTAAGTGTCACGGAGGAGTGTGTGTGCCATCTCACTGATTCTTCCGTATTCAGAACTTGAAGTTGTATTTCTACTTAAATATGTGTGACAGCTTTTAAAAGGAGAGAAGAGAAAAGAAAAAAAAAGCCTGTCTTTGCACTGCCAGCCGACGGCACCTCCCCTAGTCAGCTTAGATTTGCAGGTCCCACGACAGGAGAGAAACCGTCATCTCTGCTGACTTCAAAAGGGAGATGTCCCGATAAAACGGCTAAAACGTGTGGTTGTGTAATAAGGTGAGTTGCCATGTCCCTCCTCCAGGCTGACACTCCTAGTGTGTGAACCTCGTTTGTTATCACAGGATCGGCACTAAGCAGACTGCTACAGGCCTCGGGAGCTTCCCGGGAATATTTAACCACAACCACGTTGCTTGAGCAACACTGTTACTCAAACCTGTGAGACCCCACAGAGTGCAGGGTGTGCTCATGTAGTTCACATGCATTACATGGAAGCCTGCCTAAGGAGGGTGGCCCCTGTGATCTTTGTGGTTATAAAGGACTTCCAGGCAGTCCACAGAGTCATTACTTTGGAGAAAGGGAGGAGGATGCTTATGCCATGACACAAGGCTCTTCCTTCTCTGCCTGAATCCCCTGTCTGCAAAGGGAGGACAGTCTGTCTGATGGTGTCACTGGAGAAGAGATGCTTCAGGGCAAGCGGTTTTGAAAAAGCATCACCATCACGTTTTTTTCTTTTAATTACTTCTTTAACATTACATCATTCCCCTCTTCTTCCCTCCAACCCCTCCCATTATCCACCCTCTCTTCTCTTTCAAACTCATGCCCTCTTTTTTTCATTAACTGTTGCATTATACATTCCTAAATACATCTAAATGCATAGCACATTAAACACACACACACACACATGCACACACACACCCTAGGTGACTAAAGTTAAGCCAAGTTTGAGAATCACCACTTTCTCGTCTCACAATGGAACCCCAGAAGCTACAGAAGAAAGAATGGGGTTACGCCACTGGCAGGATCTCACGCGATGATGATAAATGATGACAGCATGAGATAAAACAGAGGACGGATGCATCCACTTGTGACCCAGGAGACACCCGAGCAGCTTGCCTTGTGCATGTGGCCCCCAGGACGCAGTCACGTGGACACAGAGAGCACTCGCAGGCCCCGGAAGTCAAGGGGCAGCTGACGTGACTGGGGATACCCAACAAAGCATCCAGACGGGCCTGTCCGTCTCCTGATGGCTCCAGGAAGCAGCCAGTGAGGCTAGAGAAATGGTCCAGGGGTTAAGAGCACCTGCTGCTCCTAAAGGATCCGGGTTCAATTCCCACCACCCACACGGTAGCTAACCACCAACCACCTTTAACTCCAGTTCCGGAGGACCTGACAGCCTCCTCCTGCCTCTGAGGACACAGGAGAGGCACATGGTGCACAGACACACAAACAGGCAAACACTTCCACCGTGTAAAATGGAGATGGGCTGATCTTTTCTTTACGCTTCAGCCAAGGTGCCTGTTCTGAGAAGCCCTACTGACTGAGGCTCCCAGAAACAAGCAGACACACAGAGCCATCTCAACTCCACGGAGCAGGAGGGAGGACACACTGGGCCAGCACCTTATGTGGTCCCACTGTGCAGCACAGCCCAAAGCTCCTGTGTGTGGATAAGCACTCACGCTTTCGTGATCAGACCGTGCCACGCCTAAATGGACTCAGCCCAGTCTTTGAAAACGAATAGGCACTCTACACACACAGCTCAGAACAACGTGTCCAGATCTGGCAATGAAACCACCACACCTAGAAGAGTTGCATCTCAGCCTTGCCTGCTGATCCATAACCCTCATCCCCAGGCATCAGAGACAACCTTGATGTCACCAGACTTTGGCATAACACAACTGATTTTTTTAAAAAAAACCTTAATATAAGATATTCAGTAATGAAATAGTATTCAAAAGCAATAAGAAACTGAAAAGTTAATTATAAAAAAATGCAATAAATGATGTTAAAATCCAGTCAAGAGTCTCAACACCATAAGGGATTAAGCATAACAAAGGGTTTCTGGGCTCATGACTGGGGATGTAGCTCAGTTGGCAGAGTGCCTGCCTGGGAAGCCATGGTCTTGATCGCCATCACTGCATAAGTTAGATGTCTTGATGCAGGCTTAGAGTCCCCCCACTTGGGAAGAACAGACAGTGGGAGCAGAAGTTCAAGATCATTGTTGGCTAAATGGAAAGTTGGAGGCCAGCCAAGACACATAAGACCCTGTCTTAAAAAAATAATAATTTTTAATTTAAATGCCCAAGTTGCATAAAGAAAAACAATTAAAATGGCAATATATACATATACATATATGTATATCCTTTAAGATTCATGACACATCAGGAAGGGAGCAAACCCTTGCTCTCTTGGGATCCGTAAAAGGAGAAACTGGGAAAGAACAAAGTAAATGTTGAAACACTTCAGATCTTGAGATGCACAAGGAGATCCATGCCAAAAACCCAGGAGACCGGTGAGTCAACCAGAGAGTTTCTCTCTGCAGCATGTCATGATCAACCCTTAAGAGAACAAGACCCAGGGGGCATCCTGAAAATGGCAAGTATCCACTATTGGAAAGGGTGTGAAGGAACGGGCATTTTATATGACAGTGCAAACTGGTAGGGGCTTTAGAAGGCATTCAACGTTTCCCGCTATTAAATTTAAATACCTGACCCTTTCTGGGTAAGATGTCAGGTTGGAAGCGGTGGTGTCCATATGAGAGTGTGAAAGAGAAGACAGAACAGATTCTATCCCAGACATAGAAATGATGGAATAGTGTGGGGACCACAAGGGGAAAGCGAACACATCTGACAATTGCAGAAAATATTGGAGCCTCCCCTCTCTGAGAGATGCTGGAGACCAAGCCTTCCAGAGCCAGCTGCTCACTAAGATCCCCCAAATAAAACTAGAAGAGACATGCAAGATGACCTAAGTGCAAATTGCAACACAGGAACACACACACACACACACACACACACACACAAATAGAAATAGCAGTACGGCGTGACTGCTTGACATGATCATAACATCTCAATTAATGAACCCAGAGACAACACTGAACTAAAGTGTGTAAGTTTCCAGATGAAGAATTCAGAAGTTTCTGTAAAAAAAAAAAAAAAAAACCAATGACTTAAAAAAAAAAAAACACAAGGAAACAGATGAACAAAATAAGGAAACCAATGCTGGAGTCAGAGAAGAGAGTCAGAAACATCAACAAGAAAGTGGTGAGGGAACCTTGATATTTTCCAAAAGCATGGTAGCAAGCATTGCCAATAGACAGACACAACCACAAACTTCTCCATGACACTATTATAGACAAGATGCTAAATGCACAAAACAAAGAAACAATACGGGAAGCTGATGGGGGATGTCCTTCAGTGTGTATGTTTGTCCTATTGGTTGATGAATAAAGCATTGTTGGCCAATAGGGAAGCATGATGGGTGGGACTAGGAGAGTTGGAGGATTTTGGGAGATGAAGGCACAGTCAGTCACCATGTAGGATGCGAGAGGGGTAAGAGGTCTGGAACCTTTCTTCAGTAAGAGAAGACCACGTGGAAGTATTCAGATTAGCAGTTATGAGTTAATAATTAAGTCAGAGCTAGCTGACAAGAAACCACAGAAAATGACCAACAGTGCCATAATTAATATAGTGTCTCGTGTTTCATTTGGGGGTGCAGAGACAGCAGCAGGACCCAGGCAGCTGGCGGCAAAGAGTACACATTGCAGGAAGCTGTGTGAGAAAAAATACCAACCCGCAAAGGCAACACGTGAGAATGACGTCATGCCCCCTCATTAGTGACTCTCAAGGCCAGGAAAGCACAGAGTGACGTACTCTAAGCACTGAAACTAAATGGCCGGTAAAGAAAACGTCTGTCTGAGAGTCAGCCTTTCAAGTAGAGGGAGAAATGACCAGAATTCAAAGTGAGCACAAACTAAGACGCTCCCAACCATAAAAGAGCAATACAGAAGTTAACGAAAGGAATCAAAAGCAAAGAAGGAGTAAATACAGTCTCAAGTGAGAGTGCAGGAAAATATAAATTCTGTGAAAGGAATGCGTGGACAAGGGAGAACTAAGAAAACAACGTGAGACGTGACAAGCCACCTTACACCACGTGGAAAGGACAGACAACCAGGAAAACAACCAACTCTAAAGAGTGCAACCAAAGAGCAACAGCGGAGATGCTTAATAGGAACAACGGGAAATAGGAAGATTGGGTGTAGCATCATCAAGGGGATGGGGGGAAGAATGTCATTCAAAAGAAGGAAAGAGAATCTGCCGTTGTCTTACTTCCAGTTCTCATCGCTGTGACAAAGCACCATCACCAACAGTGGCTTGAAGAGCCAAGGGTGCAGTTAGCGCCCGTATTCTGGGTCTATTGAGGGACACCAAAGCAGGAACTCGAGCAGACAGGAACCTAGAGGCAGGAGCCGAAACAGAGGTCGTGGAGGGATGCTGCTTACTGTCTTGCTCCTCATGGCTTGCTCAACCTGCTCTTCTATAGAACCCAGGACCACCAGCCAGTCCAGGGATGACACCTCCCACAATGGGCTGAGCCTTCCTACATCAATCACTACTCATGAAAACGCCCTGCCCTGCAGGCCTGGTTATGACTTGATCTTAAAGAAGGCTTTTTTTCCTCAATTGAGGGTCTCTCCTCTCAGATGACATTTAGCTTGTGTCAAGTTGACATCAAAAGTAGACAGCACAGATAAAAATACAAGAGAATATAAAACTTTAATAACAAAAATTGGCTAAACCAATTGAAGACCATAGGGGGGAAAAAGACAGAAAATAATTTGTATCAATAAATGGAAAACTATACCAATGCAAAGAGAAACACAGGGAGCCACGATGTAGCTGCCATAGGAGTAAGAAGTCTGGACCCTTTTCTCCGATAAGAGAAATAGTTAGATTAACAATTATGGAGTAAATACTTAAGCCAGAGCTAGCCAGTAAGAAACCAAGCAAACTGCCAACAGCTTCATAATTAATATAGCCTCTTGTGTGTTCATTTGGGACTGATGTGGCTCTGGAACCAGGCTGGCGGGAAGGCTTCTCTCTACAGAAAATGAGCACAGGGAAGACAAAATAGGCAAAAACCCAAGACCATAAAAACGCACAGTCTATACCCATCAGTAATTGTGCTAAATGTAAATGGGTAACGAAACTAAAAGTGGTTGCCAGATATAAATAAAAAAATTAACACCTTTGTGCTGAATACAAAAGAAACAATGCTAATTCCAGAAAAACTTACCTGTTGGGGGTAAGTTCTAGGGAAAGGTTGAAGCACAGGTGAGAGTATCCGCTACAGGCGCTGCCCAAAGGAGACCTGGAAAGAAATGAAGTGCATGAAAATTCTCAGCGGTGGGGGGAAGATTCACAGTGATAAAAGGCTCAACCCATCCTCTTAGGAGATAAAAACAATTCAACACATATGTACCTAATAAGGCAGCACCACGATGTATAGAAAAATGGACAAAAACAGATAAAAGCATACATGGATAAGAATGTAGACTTACCAAGAGATTCCAGTGGGCCATGCTTGGACTAGTGGGCATCATTTCTACCCATACTCCAGCAATGTTACAGACTTCAGGGTCGTGATTCTTGTGCAAGCAGAAGATGATTTAAACTGAGGCACTGACTACCTCGGGGAGAAGTAGGGCTTGGCTCTATGGAGAGTGGTTAGCTGGAGCCCAGAGAAGAAGGGATAATCCAGTGGGCAGCGTCCCAAATGTTACTGGAGCCTGAGCAAACTCCGGTGAGCAGCAGACGGGTCACGTGGGGTGGGGCTTAACCATAGTGGAAGCAAACACAGTGCCCTCACCTTTCCGGTCCCCTTCCCCTCACCTTTCCGGTCCCCCTCCCCTCACCTTTCCAGTCCCCTTCCAGGCCCCGAGATCTCCTGTGGAAACACAGAGAGACTAAATCTCACCGGACTGTGGTCTGATGAACCTGCATTACAGTTGGAAACAGGGAAGGCGGCGTCCAATGGAATAATTCTTCTGACTCAAGAGCTGCCTGAAACTCAAAACCCTGCAACTCAGAATCCTTCTCTCCCAAGGTGGTTCATGTTGCATCATCTTCTCCTCTTCCGCTGCTTTTTGGTTTGTTTACTCTTTATTCACTTAACAAGCACTATTTGTAGGCTGTAGGATCTGTGTCAGGACTAAGGAAGGGGGTGGGAAAGAGGTTTGGATAGACTCTCAGCAGAATAAAGAGCCCAAACTAAATGGAGTAATAAATAATCAGAATGAGATAGTGAGATTCCCAGTGGGCAGGGTGGGCAGGTCATGAAGCTCTTAACCACAGAGAAGTGATAGATACCAGATACTAGTGTGTACCAGGAATGCTGGGAACATAGATGCTCATCAATTCTTTCTGGAAGAATTCTTTGGACAGTTAGCTGGACTCACACCAGTGACCCTAGAACTGCAGCATATTGTTTGGAAATCTACAGCTATGGGGTAGATAGCTCTTGAAATGTGTCAGCCGTGTGAAATCCTGGATGGATTCTCCCAGTGGGTAGGGAATTAAAGTTCACACTGACCTTTCATGAAAAGAAATTGACTGATTTTTTTTAACCTGGAGCCAAGAGAAGAACTCCAGACAGGCCCATCACTGATGTGTGGGTCAAAACTAAGAATCTAAGAGGTCCAGCACGTCTCCATGTGTGGAAGGCGCAAGACCAGGCTTTGAGTGAGCAAACACAGTAGATTGAAAAGTCTACATACTATGATCTCATGTACATCCTCATACATTCCATCCCTTTCTCCTCTACCCTAGAGGCAGTCCAAAGTTTAGAGCTGCAGGTCCGAATTCCTTCAAAACTCCCTGTGTACCTCCTTTTCCATCTCTGCCTTACAAAGAAAAGGGTGTCCAGCTTGGTTGAGTGCCCAGCTCAGATAACATAAATGAAAGCAGGTAGAGCCATCGTTACCATTCATCTGATTCATAACGAACAGGCAGGGAAAGCATGCTAACGCGAGCATCTGGCTCAGATGTAAACTCAAAGTTTTTCATATGCAGCTTTCATTTATTCCTGGCATGGGTCACTAAAACAGGCGTGTCATTAGCCCATTCCCAGATGAAGTCATCAAGGTCCAAATGATAAGGAATTTGTTTTAGGTCACTTGAGTTTATTGAGTGTCGTGGCTAGAATTTGGATCGAGGGGGGTCTCTGATGAGAGGATTCAAAAGTACTTTGGTTTAATGGGTGCAGAGGATGCCAAGACGGGAACAACAGAGAGTGGCTGCCTCCCTAAATGCTATCTTAGTTGAAAACTAAAGGCAGGGGCTGGAATGATGGCTTGGTGTTGAGTTAGCTTTGCTGCACAAGTGTGGGGGCCTAAGTTTAGACCTCCATGCCCAAGTCAAAGACTGGTCATGTCCCTAGGTGTCTGTGACTCCAGTGCTGTCGGAGACAGGGACAGGAGAATGACTGGGGATCACCAAGCTTCAGGCTCAGCGAGCTACTGTATATCATGGGAATCTGGTGGAGAATGATAGTGACAAAGAACACCCGTGTCCTCCCTAGCCTTCACACATGTCCACAAGCACACATACTACACACACACACACACACACACACACACACACACACACACACGCATAGACTACATACGTGTACACCACAGTCACATGCACACATAAAATAGTAACAACAATAACAAACCAACTCGGACTCAGGGTTAGCTAAGCTCTTCCGACAGTGAGTGCCACGAACTCAGACAGATGGGTCAACAGGAACTAAGGAATCCTAGGAAGGGGTAAACATGAAGGCAGACTCAAAAAATTAAGAGGACTCATGCAGAAGAGGGGTAAAGGCCTTCCTGACAGGTTAGAGTGTGTGGATGACTACAAGAAGATAGAAATGCATGCATAGAACACGTTCCAGAGACTGTAAGTGCGTTTACCTTACAGTGAATAGAGTATTTACACAGCCACTCACGCTGTTAAAGGAATCCAATGGTAAATGAACTCCTGGCCTCTGCGGGCTGACTCCAGCATCTGAGACATCACCCTGGTCTCTTATCAACCTTTAACATAGTAAACTGCTAACTTCCCTATACCTCAACTGGTTCATCTGCAAATCCAGAACAACATAACCTGTAAGGGGGCTTCTTACTAAATGAGTTTACAAGGACTTGAGATGGTGCCTGTGCCCATGGAACCATGGAATTAATTAAATAAAATCCCGAAGACACCGTAAGTATCCTCTACCCCAGGCAGGGTACTAAGCACATGGTGTTATTTGGTTTAATCATCATCACCTGTCAGTCATTATCTAGGAGCCCTGTGTTACTAGAGAGAAATAGAATTAAAGGGGTCAGGTCTCTTACAAGCACACAGGTGGGCTTGTGCAAAACCGGCTTCAAACTCGAATGAAGAGCCAGAGCTCTTATGCAGGACACTGTGCATGCTGGGTATGGGAAACGGTGGGGAAGGAAAAAGAAGCTGGTGATGGCAGGAAGAGCAGAGGGCTTTGACACCTCTGGGAAGACAATCAGATACCCACTCTAAGGCATGAGAAGCCAGGTTTCTGGGCCGTGATGCCTGTTGGGAATTTCTATGGCCGCAGGAGTCTACACAGACTTCAGAGCTCTGAGCTAAAGGAGTGTCAAGTCGCTACAGTCACAACCCTGAATCAACTTGCCGGAAGTAGGCCAATTTTTTTTGTTTTTCAGGATTACGGACTTTTTCTTAAAGACTAATCTACTCTGACTCCATTTAGCCTCCAAACCATAATTAATGGCAGTTTCATTACCGATTAACCAAAGGGAAAGTCTGTGTGTCCATTTAACCATTCCCCAAGTACAGTCAAGTCACCCACACCCGGGATGTGTTTAACAGCTTGACCTCGATACGGACCACACCCATCCTCCTCTTGATTTAACAGTCTGACTCACCTCAAGCCTGCTGCCAGAGGGAAACCGCAGAAGACACAGCTGCCGCTACTGTAGATCCGTCATTGTCACCCTCTGCTGGGCCTGAAGCACTGCCCAGCAACTTCTCCCGGCAACTCCAAACAAGTATCTCCCCTGTGCCCTCCGTGGAACGTTACAGATCTCCCCACCCCACACCCGCCATCCCACCACCCTCAAGCATACACCTCCACTCAGGTTTGCTCACGGATGACCTTTTCTGTGGCTTGCCAATGGCATAAGTTTAAAACCAACACCGAAAGAATCTCTCGGCTCTTCACATAGCTCCATCAAGGACCCGTCTGCAAACCCCCTCATCCGTATGCCATTCCCTCCTGGATCCACTCTTAATCTCTGCTTCTGTACTCCAGATCACACCACCAGCCAATCCTACTCAATTCGATGGGAACCCCCTTTCTGCTAGCTGTGTCCCCCTTGGTGCATGTAAGGCTAGGCAGCTCTACCATGTCAAATCCTTTTGAGGCCGGCAGTTTAAAACTCATCGCACCATTTAAAAAGAAGTCACATTCAGTAGAAGGGGGTAGCTGAAAAGAGGAAGGGGGCCAGTGGGTGTCAGAGAGGAATGACAGAGGGTGTGTGGGTTACGTGATTGATGGGGAATGGCCTTCTACGTTTATGTTTCTCTTATTGGCTGATTAATAAAAGCACTGATTGGTCAGTAGCCAGGCAGGAAGTATAGGCAGGGCTACAAGGCAAGGAGAATTCTGGGGCGAGGAAGGCAGAGAGAGGTTGCCAGGGAGACGCCATGTAGCCGCTGAAAGAGTGGCATGCTGAAGCATCCTCTGGTAAGAGAAGGCCACGTGGAAACACTTATGTTAATAAAAAAAATGGGTTAATAATTAAGAGAGAGCTAGTCAATAAGAAACCTGAGCCATCGGCCAAGCAGTTTATAACTAATATAAGTCTTTGTGTGTTTATTTGGGGGCCAAACAGCTATGGGACCAGGCAGGATTGAAACGTGGTCTACACATGCTCAAAATGCATTATACACAAAGATGAAAATGTCATAATGAACCCATTGTGTGTAATAAATGTGTGCTAATAAAAACATTTAAAATAATCCATGTCCCCAACCAGCTGACTCCTTCCATCTCTCTGTCCTCTTGAGTTGCGATTTTATTTAGCGTATGGCCCAGGAGCAATGAGCTAGACAGTAACTGGAGGACAGCTGCATTCACCATCCCCTTGACTCTCTTTGCTCACAAACCTGGAGTCATCACCATCTTTCTTCCTGACATGCTCGTCACGGGTTTGTGCATGGCCCCCTCCACTACATAGACAAGGGGTCACAGGCTCCTACTCTCTTCCCTTCCCTGCCCTGCCTCACAATACCTGTCAGGTATCGTCCTAAAGCATATTCCCTCAGTGGGTCACCCGACGTGGATTCTTTCCTCAGACTCAGTTCCTAGGAAACCCATACAAGGATTCTGAGGCAATAACACGGATGAAAATGAGCCAGAAATACTGTTGAGTGTGGAGTCACTGCAGCAGTCCCAGACTCCTGGACTCTGGGCTTTCTGCTATGTAGGAAAAGCAGCGTGCTCTTTGAGGAAGACCCTGCCCACGTGTAGACACCTAAACACCTACAGATGTCTCCGTTCAGTTTTACAAGACCCACTTGCCCCAGATTGACTTCACAAGTGTCCTTCCAAGATACGCTGTTGGTTCTGTGTCTTACGCGATTTGGTAAATGTCATTCCAAATTCATTATTCCGAAACAAAATCCTAGAGTTACTAGCAGAACTCTGCATTTCCCAGAAACCCATTCCACGCCTCTCTAGGTTAAGTAGTCACCTGAATCTCTGCCGTAGTTTAACTTGGCCGCTCGCTCTAGTGCCCGAGACGTGCTCTTTCAGCGTCCCTGATGCCGCTGCCACAGCCTTAGCTCAGAAACACAGCTTTTTGCCTTTAGCAATACCTCCTCTTGATGATCCACCTGCCTCTCGTTTTCATTCCATCAGAGGAACATTTTTAGAATATTCCTCTCTCCCCTCACAAACATCCAACTTACTAATGAAACAGAATAGACTCGAGCTCATCATTTTCCAGAAGAGAAGCGTGGGGAGGGGGTGGGGAGGAACAAAGTTATCCCTCTCCTGCTTCAGGGGATGACTATTAGGACAGGCAAAAGTCAGGAGAGTCCACCCACTCAAGTCTTTCAATTAGGCCTGGGACACCTTGAAACCTTCTTGGAATGTCTTCTGCCAAGT